TATTCTGCAAAATTCTGCCCACTGACAGGGACATAAAAAGGACACGAACCAGTGAGGAACCCAAGGGAAGAACCGAAATGCCGGGGGTCACCCCTTGGGTGAAGATTCCCTCATAGGCCTTCCCCATCCATTTAGTCCATCCTCACCTCACTGTTTTCTTTAGGTGTCAAGAATTAAGGAATAGGGAAAGAGGGAACAATAGCAGACTCAGTGTTTACTCAGCAGGATACAACCCTTGTCTTTGAAGAAATACTGCTCTCTTGTTTTCTTTTTCCTCTGTGCAGATACCACTTGATGGCTATCCCGAGACCCATATGCACAGACGTCTTCACCTGCGTATGAAGCCACCACTTCCAGAGAACAATGAGACCCACTGACGAGCCAACTATCATCAAAGTAAAGAAGAAAAAATACACAACGCAGAGAAAAGACTTACGGAACCTTCAGTCATCCATCAACATTATCAAGATGTAGTAACCACCAGGACATCGCACAAAGTGAATACTCCACAATCCTCGTTTTTGCTGGAAACCTTGCAGGCCACAGCCGAAGATGGCTGCATTGACTCTCTTGTGCACAAGCATGATGGTTAAACAGTCTTGATCTTTCAGAAAAAAATTAATTTTAATTTTTAAGTTTAATTTTTCCGTAAGAGCTTCACGGACCCTAATTGCATGTTTGTTTTCTGTGTCAGCATGTAATTACAGAAAAAGCAAACACAGAACATAAGTATGTGCCTGTAACTAGCACAAGTTACATGAATGAACTTACTTAAGTGTTTAAATTTGTACATAATGTGAGAGTTATTAATACTCTCAAAAGGGGGGACTGAAGAAATACAAATTTATTCAATGTTTCATTAAGGTTTAACAGTATTTTCAACTGTAAAATGTATACAGTGTTTACCATTTTGAGGCCAATAAGATTAAGCCAAGCATTCCAGGTGTCACACATTAGCTTTTGTCTTTATGCGCTTCCTGGCCATTAAGTTCAAGATTCAGCTTTGCTTTTGTAATGGTAAAAGTGTGACCACGCTGGTCAGACTGATTAGATTAGCGTCTCTGGTAATCTGCTGAATCATTTACATTTGCTTTGTTTCAATAGACTCCTCCTCAATGTAACTCCTCCAGATTAGCATCTCAAGGCACAGAAAACTGCTATGCTGATGAACTGAATTGCCTGTTGAATCATATACATTTACTTTTGTTTCAGTGTCTCCCCCCTCAATGTAAACTCCTCCCTCTAAATGTATAAATTGTAAGGGAATGTTTTCCCTTAGTTAGACTATCCTTGAGATGACTACAGCTACGCAATAAAGAACTTCTGCGTGAAAGGTACCTCAAGAGTCTCCTGGTCTGTTGCGTGGAAGAATAAAAAACTTCACTACACCAGCGACGGTCGGGTGTTTGGACGGGGACGCCACCTGGGATGGCCGGGGTGTGCCGTTTCACTCGAGTTCATCGTGCTCATTGGGCTGTGCCGTGGGAGCCTCGATGGGGGCGGCGCGGGGCGGTGTTGTCGGCGATCTACAGGCTGGTGCGGATCCTTTCTTCATCGACAAGTAAAGTTCGAGCCCTATTTTCCCTTTCTTTTGAGTCTGGGAGCCGTGCAACAGCGAATAATGTCAACAATAGAAGTAGGAAACCACCAAACCCAGCGATAATAAAACACCGGAAACTTGGGGTATTTCAGACAGTTAATAATTCCAGACTGGTTTGAGACTCAAGATCTAAACCGAAAGGTATTCTATGTGCACATTTAAATATACGAAGTATCGAGTTAAAAAGTAATCAAGTCCGCCATCTACTTACTGATTCTAATATTGACTTCTTGTGCCTCTCTGAGACGTGGCTTAATGAAACTTCACCCTCTGCAATAATATCTATACCTGGTTATAAAATGTTTCGTAAAGATAGACAGGGTTCTAAGGGAGGGGGGGTTATGATTTACGCCAATGACACTTTTAACTGTAGTGAAATTCTTGTTACAGATGAGAATGATTTGGAATTTATTGGTTTGAATGTGTCTTTGTCACCGCAAATGTCGTTTATTCTTGTGGTTATTTATAGACCTCCTTCAACAAATGTAGATTTTTATGAAAAGCTGGATAATTTATTAAAACAATTTAATCCTGCGAAAGAACTTATAATATTAGGTGACCTGAATGTTAATTGGGAAGTTAAGCAAATCAGGAAAAACTTGCAAAAAGTAATGGATAAAATGGATATGGATCAGGTGATTAACGGTGCTACGAGAATTACAAACTCTACGAGCACTCAAATCGATTTAGCTTTTACAAATAGGCCAGAAAGGATTTTGAAATCATACAATATGCTTACTGGATTGTCTGATCACAATCTTATAATGGTCAATAGAAAATTAAATAAAAAGCGTTTTAAACCTTTGCCAGCCACAGAATCCTTTAGGATACCAAAGCAGGAAAAACAAAACTTTATAGATTCAATCGGTGATGTAAAATGGGATGAATTATTTTCTGGGATTAACTTGGATGAGGATTGTTCTCTATTTTCTAATAAAATACAGCAAATTATTAAACAATTTACACGGAAAATTAAATTACGAGCTAAAAAAAATGGCCTTCCATGGTTGAATGAATCTATTCTGAAATTAATGAAAGAACGAGATCACTCCTTGAAGCTAGCTGTAAAATCAGGACATAATAGGCATCAATTTATCACGTTAAGAAATAGAGTAGTGAGAGAAATAAGGAGATCTAAAGCAGACTTTTTTATTACTACTCTGAATAGTGCCCGTGGAAATTCTAAAATAACCTGGCATTACATAAAAAAACTGACAGGACAGTCCCATAAAAATAAGTCAAAACAAATGCAAATTGAATTAAATAGAAACCTTTTAACAGAACCTAAGGTAATAGCTGATGTTTTTAACAACTATTTTATTAAATCAGTAGCAGAAATTTCTAAAAACTTTACAATAAAACAATCAAAAGAACACTCAGTGTCTGCAACACAATCTTTCTTCATAGCAAACATCACTGAGACTAAAGTCATTGACATAATTAAAACACTAAAACCATCTAACGCCAGGGATGTATTTGGTATGGACACGAACATGCTTAAAGATTCAGGATCCGCTCTAGCTACTCCTATTGCTTCTATTATTAATCTATCTATTTCCAGTGGTCATTTTCCAAAGGCCTGGAAATCTGCTATTGTTACGCCAGTTTTTAAGTCTGGTCTATCTACCTCCGTGAATAACTACAGACCAATAAGTATTCTTCCGGTCATTTCTAAAATTGCTGAAAAATGGGTGGCAGAGCAGACTGTCCAGTACTTAAATAGTAGCTCACCCTCTTTTCACGCCATGCAGTTTGGTTTTAGGTCCACACACAGCTACGTGCCTTTTTATCGAGAAAATAAAATCTTTTCTTGACAAGGGGGGAGTAGTAGGGGCGGTATTCTTGGATCTCAGAAAAGCTTTTGACACAGTGAACCACTCAGTTCTACTCAACAAGCTTCCACAATTTAAATTCTCTTGTGATTCTGTTAGCTGGTTTGAATCCTACCTGCATGATCGTACACAATCTGTACGAATTAACAACTGTATTTCTGAGTCTCTGAAGCTAACTACCGGGGTTCCTCAGGGCTCAATATTAGGGCCCCTCTTATTTAGCCTTTATATCAATGACTTGCCTAATGTCTGCTCTGAGGTGAAATGTTTAATGTATGCGGATGACACTGTTCTATTTGTTCATGGTCGCTTTAAAGACATTGTTGCAGATAAACTAACTAAAGCCATGACTCGTGTTACATCCTGGTTACAGGAGAACTGCCTGCAACTAAATATTTCAAAAACTGTTGGTATGTTCTTCAGTAAAACCAATTTAGCTTCATTTAATCCGGACATAATAGTTGCTGGAGAAAAATTACAAATTGTAAATCAATACAAATATCTTGGCTTAGTAATAGATTCATATCTCTCATTTAAAGCCCATATTAAAAAATTATGTAAAATAATCAAGTTTAATCTAGCAAATTTCCGCTCAATTCGAAATGATATGTCAACCGAAGCTGCACAAATTTATTTACATTCCATGATTTTCAGCCACCTCAACTACTGTTTAATAAGTTGGTCTCAAGCAAGTCAGAGCGCAAAAAGACCTTTGGAAACATTACATAAACAAGCCATTAAAATCATGGACAAAAAACCAAGGCACTATCATCACTGTGCAATTTTAAAAAAACACAGACTTTTAAACTGGGACAGTATTCATAAGTTTTTTGATTTGAGCCTTATATACAAAGTGACACATGATTTGGCCCCAGCTCCTCTGGCTGAGTTCATCACCCAAAGAAACAGCTCTGAGCGCATCACTCGAGGCTCTGCCAGAGGGGACTGTGTCGTCCCTCTGCGCAGGAGCGCTTTTAGTCGCTCGGCCTGGTCAGTGAGGGGCGCTGCTGAATGGAACTCTATACCTGAGGAGGTTAGACAGCTCAATACTTACAAGGCTTTTACAAAAAACTTGAAAAATTTGGCTTATTAACAATTATGTCTGCCAACATTAAAAGCCGAACCAAGAGCTGTATTATATATTTAATATATAGTCTTTTTGTAAATGAGTTTTTGTGTATTTTATTATTTTAATAGGCATAGTGTACCCTATGTTATCTTATAGTGTTATTTATATTGTAGATATTTTTTTGTCAATTTGCTATAGACCTATAAATCTATTTTCTTGTTTGTATTGTAATGCTTTTTTACATCCTGGCCAGGGGACTACAGATGAAAAATAGCCTTTTGGCTAATTTCTGGCTTTTTTAACCATGTTTGTTCATGCGTTTTGTGAAATTGCACTGTCCCCTTTTAAATAAACTAATAAATCAAATCAACTGTTGGTGAAATAATCAGACCCAAATCTCTTCGGATCTGCATGATTCACACAAGTCACCCAAACTGACGTGAAAAAAGCGGGAGACGCCGAAAAGCGCGCTGTTTGCATCCCTGTGTGTTCTACTCACCCCATCACAGCTCCTATGGCTGTACCAGCCAGCAGCCCTCTAAGTCCCAGATTCAGCCTGAACAATCCTCCTGTTGCAGCTAAACACAAACACTGTCATTCATTCTTGTCATCTTAGTATAAAGCAAAAATTCTATGAAAATTAACAACAAAAAACCTATTAAAGGCCATAGACAACAAACAAGTTTATGAACTTACCACCTGCAACAGTGAAATGGCTCAGAGCGTCTTTGTCTCTATACACTGTCAAGCCAGTATTTACAGTGCTGTGTAAAAAAAAAAAAACAATAAAACAATATATATATATATATATATATATATATATATATATAGCATAAATAGCATAAACAAAGTGTTTTTTTTATAATTGGTAAAACTGACAGCAGGGTATCTGCATGGTTTTTAAAATCAAATTCAAGGCTTTTTAAGACCTACATGGGTGAGGTAGATCAATGTGGTGGTCCGTGAACTATAGCCAGGGGGTCCGCGCAATAATTTATAACTGCCTACTGTTTTTTTTTTCCGGAGTACAAGTCGTGTTTTCTTTTATCATCTGAAAACATGATATTTATTCCAAAGTGACTTATATAAAGCATTAACGTCAAATAATACAAATGAGACACTTAAAGGTTTTCATAGCTAGATCATCTGTATTTCTTATGTCTGTGCGTCAAGTAGAGTCCGCTGTGTTTTGGTTGATTTTGCGGAACGTGCGCCAGAAAGGAGATGGCATGAACCCGCATACTGTTATTTTCTTTATTTTTAAAAGGTATGACATTTTGTAGTCATTTATAATGTAGCCTATACACAAATAAAAAAATGGACACTTTACCGTTTTGAATGATGTACTCTTAAATAAATAAATAAGAGTATTCCTTTGTTTCCACTGCTGAGGAAAAAATCCCAAGTAACGTTAATCGCGTCTGCGTTTCGCGTGCGCGCACATACAGTATGTCAGTTCTAGCACTGCTAGATTTGATATTAGAAGCTTGATCATTATCAAAAGTGCATAGGGACAGGGCCGTACACATAATTGAGGTCCCTGAGGTATATAATGAAAGTTGTGAAATTATTGCCTAATATTAACTTAATTTGCTGCTGCAAGGACATTATGCATCGCGATGATAACTGACCTTCTCGTCTGAGCTGCTCCAGCAGACTAAAAACAACAGCTCGCCAATGTCAAAATGTTTGAGTCGGAAATGAATTCAAAGTAGTCAGGCTTATGTTCAGAAGCTGCAAGCTGAGCGCGAATCCCCGCACGACGCTTCAGTTAACGGTCATAAGCGAGATAAGATGTAGGCCTATAGCTAAACGAACGACTGAAACAATTAGTTTGCAAAATATAAATCAAAGCTCAGCTTTGGGAAAGGAAATAGCAACAGGTCAAGAGAAGCATCCTGTGCCCATGAGATTAACATTATGGATTCATATTTAACACAGATATACTGTATGTTTTTTTAGCTAATTACAGTGGATATGAGCTCAATTTAACAACACACGCACCTATTAAACATATTGCCATTATTATTGTTTAAATATAGACTAGGCTGTATTTGTGTGCAGAATAGGCCTAATCATTGAACCATTTCTCTTTTAAGGCCATTCCTGTTTGGAATATGTGATTGTGTTTTGATCTAGCCTACATGTAAACAATAATCATATACATTCTGCATTTCCATTTTGTATGTGGAACATTCATTGTAAAAATTAAAAAATGTATGCCACTGCCCACTGACATGCTTCTAAAACTATAGTTATCTAATTGTGGGGCCTTAAAACACCTTAAAATGCATGTGTAGATCAAGAACATCAAAAATTCCTCAGATCACATAGCAAGATAACTTTTGGGGACCTCAGTAGGCTATTTAGAAATTCCTGACCATGAGTGGAGAGTGGAGACCATTTGTGCAAAAAATATTTCATTCGCCGCTCACACATTAACTTTGTGCTCAATCATTGTTATAAATATGGGGGGGGGGGGGGGGGGGCTTGGATTTTTTTCCCCTGTAAGGGGTCCCTGGCTTCAAAATATTTGAGAACCCCTGGTCTATGGCAACATCCTAAACATGCAGCGCTCACATTTAATAAAATCATATTAACTCACATCAACTTAAAGGGATACTCCTCCCAAAAATTCTGTCATCTTTACTCACCCTCAAGTTGTTGCAAAGCTGTACAAAGAGTTTCTTTCTTCTGCTGAACACAAAGCAAGATATTTTGAAGAATGATTGGAACCAAACAGGTGTTTGTTTCCATAGAAGAAAAAAAAATAATACTATGGAAGTAAATGGTGCCAAAGTTCCAAACATTCTTCAAAATATATTCCTTTGTGTTCAGCAGAAGAAAGAAACAGGTTTGCAACAACTTGAGGGTGAGTAAATGATGTCAGAATTTTCATTTTTGGGTGGAGTATCCCTTTAAGCAATACTGCGATTATTGTTTTTCTGTTGTCAAATCGAAGACTTTGCTTTAAACTGTGTTTTAACTCATATATGAATGTCTTATTTATAGTTAAATATTATGGGCCCTATCACCGACGCATGTATCATTCGTATTTTGCACCCGCGCAGAGCGAACTTTTCCCTCCACAGACGCACGCCGGTAAACTAGGGAATGAACTTGCGCTCCCTAGGCGGTTCAGCGCAAAAAAGGAGGTGTGTTCCGGCGCAAACAATCCCTGGCGCTATTTTGCAGTTCCAGAAAACAATTGCACCACTGACCAGAAAAAACCTAGTCTAAAGTTAGTGGTGCGTTGCGTGTACATTCAGATGCTATTTTAAGCGCGCATGCTTGGACATAATACAGAGTGTGAACAACGCACATACATTGTAAATGATTCTCTCATCTACACATTTTACTTTTTGCAAATGATACATTATTATAAGGAAAACTATTAACATGAGGGAAATCATTGTTGTGTTCATGACGATGGGAAGAATAGGCATGAAGCTTACACATTTACCCAAACTATTATATGCATTTTTAACCGAAGCTTGTTTTGGTGGGTTTGTCCCATCCCCTATGTCACTTCTCTTTCTTTTACGGCTCTGATGAGAACACCAATCTCCTCGGCTGTGAACCCATTCTGAAACATGCCTGGTAAATGTGGTGTTATAATAGTATTGCGCCATGGAACAAGCGCACCTCGTTCATCATGCTCTTTAAGGGAATGTGATATGACGCTCCTATTGGTTTGTTTACGCCCAAAAAGCTACGTGGGGAAGCTACTTCAGACTAACCCCTTTTAGATTTGCGTCGAGCGCAAGAGTCATTTATCCCGCTGGTTGAATAGCAACAGCGCCGAGATCCGCCCACAAAGTTGACCCTTGCGTTTAGGTCGTTAAAATAGGGCCCAATATGTAGGAGAGGACAAAAATATTTGACATAAAAACGAATATATTTGTGCTCATAAATAATAAACATTCATAAAAATCATAAATAATTCAAAAGTGTAATTTAACTGATTCACAAATTAAAACTCATATCTATACTTACTTAAACATGGTCACAAATGCTGCTACCCTCCAGCTCCACCTCGAGCCAAGGCTCACAAACCCACGAATAGCTGCATTATGTGCAGAGCGCTGGTGAGACAAAAAACAGAATATAGAACATCAATATGTGCATATTTTAACCACATACAATAATGTGATTTTCAGCAATATAAAATGTAAAACAAAGCAATAAAAAACTATGGGAAATTAGATATCTGTATGAACAAAACATGACTCCGCTACAAACAGATGAATACAATTTCAGCCTGTCTTGTGTCTTACCACTGCATCCACTCTGTTTTGGTACATTGCAGCCTGGCTGAGCTGAATAAATCTCTCACGAGCATGTCTGGCTCCTGGTATGCCTCCATAGACCATCCCAACCATGGCTGCAGCAATTCCACACTTTACTATATTCCTTAACTCCTCTGAGCACATCTCACCTTCACTGTGTGGAGAGCAGAACATAATTAAAAAGAAGCAAATGCACCATGCACCACTCCATAAGAAAGTCTCTGATATTGCACACAATATGGTATGATATAGTACTGCGCACAGATGTCTCTGGTTTTCTGGAGACAATCCCAGTTTTGGCATCCTGAAACATGAGGTGCATTGTTTTGAAAATACATACAATTTTGAAATATTCCCGAAGGTTCTGCGATCACACACAACGCAGTAATTCACAAACACACTCACCTTAACTATAACACCACTTTAGTTGTGTACAGTAAATCGATATAAGTAAATCAGAACCGAGTAATCCACTATTTTGTAGAGGGAAAAAAACATTCTTCCCTTTCGAGGGAACCCGCGATGCGTCATTGACGCTTTTGGGAACGCCCCCAGCGTGAATGCATCTGAAGCATCAATGTCAACTTAGTCCAATGGAATGAATGAGCGTCACGGCGAGTGACATCATGACCAGGAAGAGATAAAAGCGCATCCGGTGCAAACCGAAACTAGCTTCTGTTGCCTCAGCAAGCAATCTGTGTCTCGGTCTGTATGATTTACTGTTGTCTGTCACATTACGATTTATCATGGCGAAACAATTGTACAAACAGTGTGCTTCTCCCTGCCCACGTTATTTAACGGGTAGGGATACACATGAGCTTTGTGTAATGTATTTGGGAGTGAAGTATGCGGTGTCAGCCTTCGAGGAGGCTGATTGCCAGCATTGTGAGAAGCTTCCGCTTCGCATGCTCGCATGCTCCGCTCCCGTCTGTCACTTTTTGAGGAAAGTGGTCAGGCTCGCGCTCCTCAGGGTGCAGCACCCGCTGCTACCCGCTACCCGCAGCATATGAGGAGCTGGTGGAGGTAATAACTCGTGCTGTGGATAAACTACACATTGAATGGCCAGCCGAGAAAAAGGGCGCTCGTTCTAAAAGCAAGTTAGACAAGTGCTTTTTATCTTCTAATGTTTCACCTCCATCACGTCTAGATCGTGAAAAAATCCATAATCTTCCCGTCTTTTCAGCCCCCAAGTCCATGTTTATTCAAAAATAAGGGGGTTGAAATATTAGACGCTCGCGAGCTATCTGTCACCTGGTACAGCATCGTCCCTGAAGGCCTCAGCTTTGCCCACAAAGCCATTAAAAACGACATCTAATTTAGTGGGCAAAGCATACAGTATATGGCAGCAGGTCAGGCTGGAGTGTGCTTACACACCATGGCATTGCTCCAGGCATATCAGGCTGATATGTTGGGGGATTTGGACAGGAGTAAGGGGGTGGGGCCCGATGTGGTTCGAGAACTTCGTCAGGCCACTGATTTGTCTCTCAGGGCTACTAAGGAGACCGCCAGAGCAATCGGGCGGTCAATGGCAGCCCTTGTAGCTAATGAGAGGCACCTCTGGCTGAATCTAGCATACATAAAGGATAAAGACCAAGATACAGAGGTGTATCTTTCTGCTAGATACACCTGTTGAGCCTTCTGGCCTCTTCGGCGATGCTGTGAATTCGGTCGTCGAGAGGTTCCAGGAGACTAATACATTTCTCCCTCGCCGTTTCCAACCCCATGGGGCTGCTGGGCGTGAGCAGCCCAAGCCATCTAGCTCCTCATATAGAGCATAACAGAAAGAGAGTGTTGTGTCTCGTGCTCCGCCTCAGAAATATTGGAAACAAACGCAGCACTCTCAGCCGGAGCCTTCGAAGCAGAAGCCGGATCTAAGGACAGTTCTTCAGGCTAAGAAGGATTCGGCTCAGAAGAAAAGGTCCTGACGCTCATGGCGTCAGACCAGTGGGGACAGCCCTGCCCGGGGTGGAGCGGGTCACACCTCAGTATACTGTGTCCGTTCCTCGGTGTCCTCAGACGGCCATTCTGCCAACCCCACCACCCTTGGTGCTTCAGGGCGCAGTGGTCTCCAGCGAACCTCTGAGGGGGGTTCAAGGTCTCAAGTACACCAAAGGCCAGCCTTGAGAGGCTGGTTCCCTTTGTAGATTTTCTGACAGAGTGGAAAAAACTGCCATTTATTTCTCAATGGGTCCTGCGGATAGTAGAAAGGGGATACAGAATCCAATTTGGTTCTCGCAAAGGAAGCTATAGAGCAGGTGTATCCAGCCGACAGGGAATCGGGTTTTTACAGCCGTTATTTCATCGTTCCAAAAAAGGATGGGGGGGGGGGTTGCGTCCCATTTTAGATCTTCAAGTGTTGAATCGTTCAGTACAGACACTCAAGTTCAAGATGCTGACAATCAAATCAGATCCGAGGACTGGTTTGTCACGATAGATCTGAAAGACGCCTACTTCCATGTCTCCATCCAGATTTTTTTCGGGGGCAAAGAATACCAGAATCAGGTACTTCCAGTCGGTCTAGTTTTATCACCCCGCACATTCACGAAGTGCGTAGATGCAGCTCTGGCCCTGCTCAGGCTGCAGGGCATACACATTCTGATTTATATCGACGACTGGCTGAATCTAGCGGAATCAGAGCAGTTAGCGGTTCGGCACCGAGGTGTCGTTGTCACACATATGCAGAAATTGGGGTTGAGGCTGAACACCAAGAAGAGTGTGCTTTCTCCAGTACAGGGAACCACTTTTCTTGGTGTGGTATGGGATTCAGTCACGATGCGAGCCGCTCTATCGCCTGCCCGTGTAGCTGTTATCCTAGCAGCCACAAAGGAGCTAAAGCTAGGCCAGTCACACACTGTGAAACAGTTCGAGAAACTGTTAGGCCTCTTGGCAGCAGCGTCCAATGTGATACCTTTTGGCCTGTTGTACATGAGACCTTTGCAGTGGTGGCTCAGGACCAGAGGGTTCTCCCTTACCCCTTTTCCACCAAAAAAGAACTGGTTCGGAACTGGTGCTGGTTCAAAGATGCTCTGGAGTTGGTTCAACTTGCGAACCCGTTCAGAACCTGTTTGTTTTTCCACTGACTAGAGCGCTCAGGGAACGACGTTGTTACGTCACTGTATACGTCGCATTACGTCTTAGCTAGAAACGCTTGCAAGTAAAACATTACTTTGGGATTATCTCTAACTCGTGTACCAAGAAGGCTTTAAAAACAATTTAAATATGTAAGTCTTTTAATCTTTTCGTTTGATATGTAATCTTTTCTGATAAGTTATGTACCCCTGTCTTGTGTCTTTTTTTCTTTCCATTTATTTGTTCTATATTATTGACTGTTTTCTTCTTTGCTTTTTTTTAAAAAAAATAGAAACGCCAACTTCAAGCATAACAATTACAAAGGCGGACTCCATCGTGTTTCTGCAAATATTTCTCCTGGCTTTGTGATCCTATATTATGGTCAGAAAAGATGTTTAGAACACATCTAAACCCGCCCCAGCCCCCGATGTAAGCATGACGGTGTAAAAGAACGGTTCTAGTCCAGCAAAGAGTTGGTGCCGCTTTGTAACCAGTTTTTTCCGGCCGAGAACCTGTTCTTTGGCTGTCGAAACACAAAGAACTGGTTCGCACGCAGGCACTGGCTCCAAACCGGCTCTCAAAATGCTTTGGTGGAAAAAGGGCTCCTGAGGGGAAACCCACGTCGTATGATCAAGATCACGCGGCGGTGTCTCCGTGCTTTGGTTATATGGAGGAAGGATTGGTTCCTGTCCCAGGGTCTGGTGTTGGGAGCTCTTTGGGAGCGACAGATGCTTCCCTCACTGGCTAGGGAGTGGTAATGGAAGGCCGCTCAGCTCAGGTTCTGTGGAGGAGTTATCATCTTTCTTGGCACATAAATTGCCTAGAGATGATGGCTGTCTTCAATGCGTTGAAGTATTTCCTCCCAGATCTGAGGGGCCACCATGTGCTTATCCGAACAGACAACACATCGGTGGTCTCTTATCTAAATCGTCAAGGGGGTCTGCGCTCGCGTCCACTATGCAAGTTAGCGCACCAGATCCTCTTATGGTCCCTGGGGAAGGTACTCTCTCTGAGGGCAGTGTACATTCCAGGGGATCAGAATATTGGAGCAGACGTCCTGTCGAGGCAGGAGCTGAGGCCAGGGGATTGGAGACTCCACCCCGAGGCGGTGGAGAAGATTTGGAAGTTTTACCGCCGAGCAGAGGTGGATCTGTTTGCGTCTCAGCACACGATGCACTGTCCACTTTGGTTCTCCCTGACTCACCCAACCCCCCTGGGGCTGGATGCTATGGTGCAGACGTGGCCGAGGCTACGTCTGTACGCTTTCCCCCCTGTTGCTCTGCTTCCAGGAGTTCTGGAACGAGTTCGCCAGTATGGTATAAGCCTTCTACTAGTAGCACCACGCTGGCCCAGTCGAATCTGGTTTGCGGACCTGTTTCATCTCCTAGATGGTGCTCCGTTGGAGACAGTGGTGTTGCCTTGTTTTTTGTAGTGAGTATACTGTGATATACCAGCGCCCCACCCACCATCCCCCCCCCACAACCACCACCACCCATTTTCGAAAATTTTTAAAAACTTAAATTAAAAAAAGGTAACACTTTAGTTTAGGATCTAATGCTCACTATTAACCAGTTTCATTACATGCAAAGGCAGGGTTTTATAATCACTGTTGATTATAAATGTGAGTTAGGTTAGTGTAAGGACTTTGCCAGGCGACTCAACCCTCCTCCCACACACACGCACACATTCAATCACTCACTTACTCCAGTGAGTATCAAGTTACAAGACTTTAGGGCACAATTGGAATGTGGCAGAGTGTCTCTGAACAAAGAGAAATACATTTCTTTTGTGTTAAAGACATTTAACAAATGTATTCAATGGTTTTATGTATGTGTGTTTTCCCCCATGTCACAGTGAAATAACTTTGTTTGGCTGCAGCATAAACAGAAATTAGAAATACCTTCTTTATGCAGTGTAAACATAAGTGTATATTCCTTTAATGTAACATAATGTTCCTTTATGTCTCCAGAATGCTCATGTAACGGGCTCTCCGAATATGCACAGAGATATAAAGTAAAGTGTATTTTTAATATGTTTTTACTGCCATTGAAGATCACACTGTTAAACTATAATCCCTCACTGAAC